ATTGCTTGTTTGCTGTTGTTAAGCTGCCTGGCCCTTGTGACTGGAAACCCAACTAGTTTCTGTTTCGAAGGATGAGCAAGAAGCCTGTCGATAAACCAGAAGGCTCAAAGAGATGATCTTGTTTTGCTCCACTTCCTCATAAAGGTTTTTCCTTTGTCCGACCTGGTGCTAAAGAGACTTCTTGGCTTACTTGAGGGGGAAGGCAGAGGAGTGGGATGGATCTGGTGTAGCTGGTGCTGAACACAATGCTGGTACCCTGTCCTATAGCACCAGCAGCTCTTCCTGCCCATGCTGGTCGCTTCCCTCTAATTACAGCAGGAGATGTCTCAGTGGAGGAAGTCGTTTGTAACCCTGCTGCTGCATGTCAGTGCTCTTTGGTCCTTACTCATCTGGGCTGTTGCTGGAGATCCAGTATAGCAGGGAGCTCAGGAAGTCCTGGGGTCAAGTGCCCTGCAATGCAGGCATCCAGCCAAACCAGGTGGTTTACATTTCTGTTGCTGCTTTTCCGAGTGCACTGTGCCAAGGTGGTTATTAAAGCTGTCACAGACAAAATAGCACTGTTCCCTTTTCTCTCCTGTGTATTTCCCAGTGAATGTATTCATTCATGTTAGTCATCCCAGCCTGCTAAATCTTTATACATAAGCAAGACTTGACTTGTCATTGAAGTTCAGCAGGTGCATAGATGTTAAAAAGCACTGTATCCTCTGTAATTTTTCTGATCTGGTGATTTGGACTTTGCCAATAGCCTTAGGTTTAAATGGCACAGGGTATAAAAATGAGTTAGCTACTCTGCTATGCTTGTTTTAATAATATTTGGTATTCTTCCCTGTGAGGCTGGTGAGGTGCTGGCACAAGTTACCCAAAGGAGCTGTGGCTGTCCCATCCCTGGCAGTGCTTAAGGCCAGGTTGGGTGGGGCTTGGAGCAACCTGGTCCTAGTGGAAGGTGTCCCTGCCTGTGGCAGGGGGTTGGAACAGGATGATCTTTAAGGTCCCTTCCAACCCAAACCAGTCTGTGATTCTATGAAGTGCCTTTGGGTTTCTGGGGTCATACACTAGCAGAAGTTGTGTTTCAGTGACCTCGCATGGTGCCTGGCTTCTGCCATGGCTTAGCTACTGTTCTCAGAAATAAACCCTTTGTGGGAGATTTATGGAAATGCAATGGATTTTGGTAGTGTTTGGACTTCCCTGCATCAGCCTCAGGAGAGTCTGGCACTGGGTGTCTGCAGAAGGAATGGAGGGCACGGAGCTTTCACATTTTTAAAAAGGCATATAAAACCTGAGCCTGCTTTCAGGGGAATGCAGCCCTAAGGAGCAGTCTATGGCTCTTGCCCTGTAGCCAGTGAGGGCACAGTGTGTCTGGTACAGAACTGGCTGCTTGTGAGCAAGAAAAGAGCCCAAGTGCCTAAAGGACCTGCAGAGCTGCTCCTTCCTGCTGGTTAACAACAGTGCTGCTGCACTCTGAATCAGCCAGAGCCAGTTTTTCTGGCATGGTCATGGTATGTTGTGCCAGTGATGTAGTGAAACTCATATATCATTTCCCTTTGAATACTCTATACTGTACTGTACTATACTATCCTTGCTCTGTTGTGATTCAATAGCCATACAGAATGATGGTATCCCTAAATCCACTACAAGATGTTATGGTAGAGCAAAATCTAACTGTTATTTTAGGTACTTGTTGTAAAACAGTAATATATTTACACACAAAAAGGGTATATTTATTTTGCAGTAATGTATTTATTAGGAGTAGTTGACTGCAGCTGTCTTTCTAATGCAGTTTAAAGATCAGAAGGGTATGATATGCAGCTGAAATGTGTATCACCTGTTGACTGATCAAATTTGGATACTGGGGAGCTCTTGTTTTAATAGAGCCATATAACAATGGCATATATATGATAAACATAGCAGTTTGCTTGATTTCTGGTTCAGTTGCCTTTGTCTATCACTTGGGACATTAGAATGCTTATACTTTGTGTTATAGCTCACTCTCTCTTCAGTCATCCTTACCCCTTTTGTGTAACATGAAGTCCCAGAGGAGACTTGGCAGAAGATACCCCAAACAGCCTGCTCCCAGCAAACTGCCCCTGCTCCTCCCTGCAAAACCCTCATGGGTGAAAGAGCGTAAGAAGCATCTGATGGACTTGGATCCACTTCTGATGTGTTGTCCCACTCCTAGTTGTGGTCAGCTTCTGAAACTGTGAGGAAATTGCAAGGATGCTGAAAGAACACAGATAGAGGATGATCTCCCCATCCAGAAGGGTTTTCTCATGTGCCCCAATTGTTTGAGTTGGATTAAGGCCTGAAATCCAGCTTTGTGGATCTTTTTCAAAATACGTTTGTGGTATATATAGTACATATGTGTGTATATAGAATACACATGTGTGTGTCTAAAGTACTGCATGTGTTACTTACAGAGTTTTGACTTCTAGACACAGCAGATTTCTTGACCTGAAGAAACACAGTGAAAGGCTCCCAGTAATTGCTGGCAATTTTCAGAGCTGTCTGCCCCTGTCCATGTTGAAAGAGGAGATGAATGGCCCATCCCAGCAGAAAGTTACAGGGTAAACTCTGCTTGGCATAATTTCTTCGTGACTAAGAAACTCTAATTGGCTCCATGTGGGCAGAGGATCTGTCTGGTGAGCCAAGAGCTGCACAGCAGACTTGGAAAGCATGTCAGAGGGACTAGGTAGCATATGGATTTGTGTGGTTCCTTCATGCTTTGGTGTGTTGTTTCTCTTCAGAAGCCTGGTCCAGTTTGGAAAGGCTTTCTTCCTCCGTACCCCCTCTTACGAGGAGGAGGGTCATACTGTGGGTATTAAAGGTTAACATACTTGCTAAGAGACAGATACCTCATTGTTTCTTTCCTGTGTGAATTCAGCTGACAATGAAGCCTAAGCAACATTCAGTAGCTTCGGTTAGTTTCAGATGCCTTAAAAATAGTTGGCCAAAGTTGAAATAAATAATAATAATAATTAAAAAAACCCCAACATAATAAATAATCAAACTCCAAATTTTACATTTAATCTTCTTAGTGATGATTACCTGATATTATAATTCTTGAGGCTACTTTGTTGTTACTACTTTGATACAGTTTTACTTATATCTTAAACTTAGATGCTGCCTCCTGTGCCAGCCTTACAGCTATTTGGCTTAAATACAAGAAAATGACAAACAAGTTCTGCCCATTCTTGTAAAAATGCCAGCCAGCTCCATTAATGTTGTTGTTGTGAGCCTGGTTTTACAGGGCTTATGTGAGCATTTGTAATATTTGAAGAAATATTGCTCCTTTTTTAGTTACAAAAAGGAAAAGGCATGTCTTCCAGAATGAAAATTGACTTCTTTATGCATGTATACTTTCCTTTAACTCTGAAAAACTCAGGCCTTTCATTTGAGGCTTTGAGGATGTTTTCTGTCTGCATTGTAAACTTGGTGCTTGCTTCAAAGTGCATGTGCAATTTGTAGACTTGCATTGCCTACTGAATTTTTGAGAGTCCTCTGCTGTGTTGGGATGGATGCACACAGAAGTTCAGGTAATTCCTCTAGTGTTTTCTTTCACCAGAACTAAGCTTTTTTTTTTGCTGCAAACAGAACCTGAGCATCTCCAGGATGGTGAATGTCCCTTTCTTCGCTCTCTTCTCCCTTTTGTGTCAGGCTTGATTCTCATTTGTCTTTAAATTGCTAACAAGTAAAAACTCAGGGGTAAGTAAACGGCTGTTAAAGTTGCAATGGTGTTATCCTTTCATCAGGTAAAACCTCCTCACCTTGCTGCCCTGGTAAACGTGCCACCAGTTCTCCCCAGGCTGTGGTATTGATTCTCTCTTTCTGTGGTGTGGAGGTCACTCATGGCTGGACCTGGTCTCTGCGGATGCCAGGGCTGTGGGCATCCCTCTCCTGCCCTCTGGGCGGAGCTGGCCATAGGCTGCATGGACACAGACAAAAATGCTAAGCCTTTCTTCCAGATATTAATGAAAACCTGTTCAACCAGCAAGGCATTAGATTCGTAATTCTATCTTCAGCTTAACAGGCAAGTGCTTATTAGGTAAAAACTTTGCCAATGCCTGAAGGAGCAATCTGAGTGAGCAGATTTTAAGGTGCTGAATGAAGCCTAGTTCCCAGTGATCAACTAAATGAAGCTGCCTAAGCAGTAGAGATGAAGAAAGAAAGCTATGGGGAGGTGTTTGTTTCAGAAAGCAAGGGATAAAACCAACCCCCCAAAAACTTGTGCCATTGTTTGTTTTCCCTCTGCCTCCTGGAAGGGAATGTCTTCTGGCCTTTGTTTTGTATTCCTGTATTTATTGGCATCATTTGTGAGAGCTGAAATCCAGACCACCACCTTTGGTGTTCTCTGGGCCATTCAATTGTAATATGGTCGGACATCAGCAGGCCTGCCAGCTTGTCACCACGCATGTACTGGTTGGCATTGCTTCTCATGCTGAAGCTGTTCAGGGATGGAGGCAATGCTGAGCATAAATGTGCATGTGTTCTGCTCAGCCAGTGTCAGCTATAGTGAAAGCAGGAGGAAAAAATGAACCTAGCAGTGTGTTTGCAATCCCCAGTTCAAATATTTATCCCATTAGGTAACACTCCATTATTGCAGGGGAATTGGGTGCTGTCTCTTCTTGTGGCAATATCTTGGTGAAATGCAGAAAGATTTTTGGCCCTGCCATATAATGAATAACAATCTCACAGTTCAGCTCGTGGTGCCAATCCTCTTGGTGACATGCAGTTGTCTGTCAGGTCCTCCGTAGGGATAGGAGTGTTTTAGATATCATCAAGACAGTCTGTGGACGGTGTTCAGAGCAGGAACTGATGGAAACTTTCCATAGCATGAGGTTCTGCTATGGGAAAGCTCAAGCTTTATGGAGATTTTTAATGAACATAGTTCTATCTTAACACATTATTTGTTATTAGATTGAAATGTTTCCGTTTGAGCTAGAACACATTGCAAAGCAACAAAAGACCTTTTTACAGTCTTGAAATGGCTGCTGGCATATAAAGCTCATAAGTGGGTTGGGAGAAGGGAAAGACCAAAATGAAAAACCCAAGTATATTGATCTGCAAAGGCTACAAAGATGCATTTGCTTAAAATATGTTTTGCTAGGTTTAACTGAAACCAGTGACTAATGCTTATTGTTTAACACAGGAATTCAAGGGTTTTCAAACTTTAGAGGTTTTCCCCCCAGATTTTATCTTGAAAAATGTGAAACTGTTCACATTTATTTGTGTGAAGTTTATAGATTTATGTGAAGAGCTCATAGAAGACTTTGGGATTTGCTTTAAAGAAAATTAATTGGTCTTTCTCCAGACAGCTTCTTACTGTTAAATAGCATCTCCATGTAGGCTGTGATAGTATCAAAGAGCGCTTTATTTTTGCTTCCTTCATGACCTTCAAAGGGACAAAACAGAAGAACATTAACCTTTTCATATGTACATGTTTAAAATGGTAAACTTAAAAATCCATGAATATGCTTCTGTAAAAATCTCTTCCTAGCTGGCCTCCTACAGTCCAACTCATTTCACTGTTGTCTTTTGGTAGCGAAAAGCACTCCTGCTATTTATGATGCGTTACTTGGCTAGTTGCCATTGCTTGCTGTTTATCAGCATGCCTGATGTTTTTGGTGGAGGAAATACCCGTGTTTTTTTTTCTCATATAATGAAGTTAAGCATAGCTTCATTTACTACTTTCTTGCTTTGTTTTGTTGTTATTGGAGGCTTGTAGACGTTTGTTTGGTACGCCAGCTCTGCTGAGGGAATTTGTGAACATGTCTTTTGTATTCCCTGGGTACCATCTACTGAGCTGGAAGGAAGGAGCAAAGATATGTGAGAAAGTGATGTAGTGGTAGGGTGTTGTTAAAGATTTGGTTTAGCAAGCTTTTAGGAATAGGTGACTTTGTAACACAATCTATATCCTCAGAAGTGTTTTCACAACGGTGACTGTTAACTTCTTTTAAAACCTACTTCATCTGGCAAAATGCAGATTTTCACCGGTCTGAAGTGGGTTAGAGATTCAGACAGCAGGTTGTAGCCTCTATGAAGCAAATTGCCTGATTTTCTTTTTAGTCTCTTGATCAATGTCAGTCTCATCCTTAAGTATTTTGTGATGAGCTAAGCCTTGAGTCAAGTCATCTATTTACTCTAGGTCTCCTTAGAGCGGTGAGTATTTATCATAGGATATCTTCCAGTGTAAAATTTATTTGGAAAAATACTTTGTACCTTTCCCTGGTCCATTTCTGGGACTGAAAGTAAGTGCTTATGTTGTGTGAAAACATCTGTGATCTCTGAAGAAAGCTCTGATCCAAACTTCTCTTCAAGCTGGGCTTGAAATACAAGAATCACTTGTAAGGATTTTAGGAGCTGACCTTCAAAGTTGATAGTGTTCATGCAGGTTCTGGATGTGAGCTGCCCTGAAATAACGTGAATGTGACTCCTGTAATCTGACACATAGAAACCATAATCTTTCTCTTTTCACATCCTAGGATAGCATCATAACTTTTTTGGGGTGGGACCACCTAACACATAGTTTGCAATGGAAATTCTCATCTTCCTCTTGCCACCCCTTAGATGATTTGTCACCTCCTTCCTCCATCCATGATGTTTGGGAGATGCTGATGTTTTGAGGCAAACAAATAATTGCAAGTAAATGCCACTCTGTTGCAGCATATCCTTCCTTTTATGCCAGCCAAGCTGCTCTGGCAGGAAGTAACATCAAGGCCTTCAGAAGAAGCTATAAACGCTTGCTGTAGCACATCTAATTCTGTTTCAGGTCTGAAATGGCTGCCTGTGAAGAGTGATTCTGTGCTGTCAAGCAATAAGTGGTGGCAAAACATTTAGAAATGACTCTGTCTTTCCTATAGCTGTTTTCCAGCATAATGAAGTGATGGAGCTGCTTGTGAACCTGACTTTGAACATTGGCATGCTTTGTTTATGCTGAATGTTGTCTTTATGCAGCTGAAGCTTCTGAGCAACTGAACTTCTGGAGATCCATACTCCCCATGGGACTTGTTGCTTGAATTCTTACCTGGCACTAACATATTGCTCTTCCCTTCTTTCATAACAGATTTCTGCTGTCCTCTCTCTTATTGCCTCAGAATTAAAAAGAAGTTATCTTGTATTTCAGCAAGAACTTCTGTTGTATTTTTCGTTTATTCAAAAGGAAGTGAAACAGCTGTCTGACAAGGGTCTGTATCAATGATTTTGTCTTTCTTTTGGAATAATGTCCTAGCTAGTTGTTCCTGCACAGAAGTCTGCATAAACAGAGTTATTGCTGAGTTTTTTATGTTATTTTGTAGAGAAAGCAATAAATTTTTCATTCTTTTTTAATGAAAACCAGCAAAAAACCACCCCAAAACCAGTTATGTCACCCAGGGAGCCCTTACCATGAATTAGACTGTTAATGTGCCAGCTGAAGTTCTAATACAGACCAGCAGTAGAGCTTCTCCCAGCAGGACATGCTCATTCCCCAGAGAGGAGAGTGAGTGCTGTTGTGAGGCAAGCAGGGTAGGTGCAGTGGTACTGGTTCTCAGTCTGTTGTCTGCCGTTATAAGTGCCTGTCTGTCCTCATGAAGTTCTCTTTGGTTGTCTCAGGGGAGGCTGGTGTAAACATCTGTGACAGCACTGCTTCTCCGTGACCTGATCTGAGGAAGTGATTAACTTGGATCTGGGCTGGGCTGTATCCGACTGCACAGTGCTTCTTTTTATCCCCTGTAGCTGCAGTCACATGAGTGTGGTATGGCTGAAATTGCTTGCCTGTGCAATGGGAAACATTTCTCTTTTTTGCCTTTTTATGCGAGGAAAACCATGATTCACTCGTGCTGAGCTCCACATCTTGGAAGCACTGCTTGAAATAACCCTGAGTTGCACAGGCAGTGCTGCCTGTGGGTGCCACTGCTAATGGCGGGTTCTGCCTTTGCACCTCCTGGGACAGTGTGCCGTCCTCACCTCTCCATTTCCCTGCCTGCAGAAAGGGGGCAAGACACCTAGACCTTTGGTGCTCAGAAGGGCCATACTGAATGGCGGTGCTGTGGTGAGGTCTCCACTTCCCTTCTCCCCATCCATTGTTTACTCTGAGCCTTAGATAAGATGAGTATCTTTTGTTTTTCCTGTAGATAATAATAACAACCGCCTGTCTCTACCAATACAGGATTAGGTTCTTCTTTCAGGAAGACGTGGGAAGACAAAAATGAATGTGGGTTTTGTGAAGTATGTGCGACAGAAAAGGTTTGAGGGTGGGGAAAGAGCAGGCTGTGCTCTCTATGGGAATGCACAATGGCCTTGCTGAGCGTTGGTGCCCTTGGAGAACCTCTTTGCCCCAGCCACATCAGCTGTGGCTTGCTGCTGGTCACCCTGCAAGATCTCCTCAATGTCAGCATTTTCCCTTCATGAATATGCTATCTTGCTTCTTGATGACAAAAAGTGGTTGTCGCTTTGCTGGTAACTGTGATGAATAACAGAAATACAGAGGTTGCTGTATGGGTTGGTGGGTTTCCATCACTGATGTGATCAGTCTTTAGCCTCCTGTCACAGGAGCAGAGCAATCTTGCCTTTTTCCCGCTCTATACTGAAACATGAGTGTTCTGAAGTAATTTGGAAGCATGTACAGAGTGGAAATTCCCTGGAGGGTATTCACATTTTTAGTGTTAATTCTGCTGTTGCAGGGGAACCCGTGGTTTGTTCTACCCCCGCCTCCCCCCTTTTTCCCCCTCTTGCTAATTCATTCACTAGCTTTAGGTAACTCAGTCTTGTAGGTCTGATTTTCGTAGCAGAGACTATATAATTGGATTCTGCTCTTTACATGATTCCTGTCTGCAGTGTTTCTTCATGATCATATGGCTTTGCTGTAATGCAGACTTCTGAGGGGGTGAGGACATATTGGTTCCATTCTGCCCCAGCCTAACTGTGTCCATGATGTTTGGAAGCAAGATCAACATTTCCTGGGGCCTCTTTTATCTCTTGTTGTTCCATCTAATGGAAAATTCATCCTTCTTTTTTTATATTTGTATATATTTTGGCTGTCTTGTCCCATGAAATGTGCTGGCATTTAGCTGTAACCCACAGATACTCATATGATTTATTCCCTCCTTGCCTTCAGAGTTTAGTCTTGCTTTAACTGGGACTTATTTGGATGGCAGCCTTTTGCACTGCAGCTCCCCTCCAGAAGACAGATTGCTAGATCTTATACTGCCCCGTCAAAACAGGACTTTAGAGCAAAGTGGATGGGCTGTCTCTTAGTACTACTTTCTGTCTTTTGTTATGGTTATGTTCATTTATCTTGTCTTTTCAGCTGCTTTCTATGATACTTGCTGTACCAAAACCTTCTGAGATGTCATCTTCTGCAGCTCATCGTGCCGCTCTAGAGGATGCGCTGATCGGAGCTAGCGAATATGTTCTCATTAACTTGCCAACAACATGCTAGGGAGAAACTTTGAGTGGGCATAGTGTGACACAGCACAAATTGTTTGTGACAGCAAGTGTAATTTAAATCAGAGCTTTTATACTGATGAAGTGTCAAAATCAATGCATTGATGTCGCTGTCTGCTGAGGGGGGCACCTGCATGAGTGGAAGAATCCTGATGGTATTGCACTAAAAATCGAAGTTACTGACAATTTTGAGGAGTAGCTTAAGACTCAAGATATCTTTTCTTATAGCAGATTATTGAAACATAGGATGTGTGCTGAACTTGTAGGCTGAGGTTTACCTTGCTGTTGCTTCAGAAGCTGCATTTTCCTAATTTTTAGCTATCTATTTGGAAGAAATTTTCTCTTATTCTCCAAAGACTGTGTGACAAGTGACTTGTGTGACCATATGTGTCTCTCTTCTGGTTACATTTAGTAATTGTTTTGCTGTATGAGTGTCTTTGCAGGTATTTCACAACAACAAAATATCCAGGCTCTGACCCTTGATAAAGGACTGTTTGTCATTCTTGCAACTTGGAGATGTGTTTATCCTTCTGATCTGTAGAGTTGAGGCCCATCATATCGCTGGGTGCTCTTGGCAGCCTTTACTTAGGGATGAAGTTTTCCAGGCTCTCTCTGTGGGTTTCTGTTTGTGTCCTGACCCTACAAACATGCTTGCCCTAGTTTTACTGTTTGTCTTGACTGAAAGGTTATCTGGTGCAAAGGATACTCTAGCTGACAGGGCTGTAACAGACACCTGCCTTCAGTAATACCCCATCCCCTAGTCACAGTTTGTTCTAATGTCATCTGAGATGTTGTGTTTGAAATGGGGAGTGAAAAAAACCCAGCTTCTTGGGGACCTTTCTTTTAGATAGACATAAGGAAAAGCTATGGGAGACCTCATTGTTTTAAGATCTGGATGCTGTTGCCTGGAAGTTGGCTGTGTCTTTAAGAAAGAGCCAAGTATTTATATCTGGTGTCTATCTGAAATCATGTTTACCCTACAGTGTTTATTAAACCTGAGTTAATTTTCCTCCTCTCTTTCTGTGGCTGCAGGAGCTTTGCCAGCAATGCATTATAATAGCTGGTAGTCCAAGGCGGCGTGGGCCATGTGCCAGCTTCCCATTCCCACTACAAAGGCTGGACTGGGGACTTGCTGCCTGGCAGTGCCATGCTGCTCTGGTCCATGCTGTGCCCCAGCATCCCTGCTGCTGCAGGAGCCCGAGCTGCTCTGGAGCGGCTCAGCTTGGAACTGAGGGCTCTTCTGTTTAAAAGTAATAATTGTAAAGCCTTAATTACTCTCTGTCTCTCTCCCCTCTCCCTCCTGTCCATTACTCTGAAGGGCTCTCAAAATAGAGTCATTAGCATCACTCTGTCACACGGCAGTCTTGCGCTGTTTAACAAAATAAGGTCACTGTGTCTGATACCTTTTATTTGCATGATGACTGGCTTGTTCTTTGTAGTCTCATGATATTTTTGTCAGGACTGTCTTGGCTGAGGTGAGTGCCAGGAGTCACGCAGCTCTATCGACACTGGCTTTTCGTCTGGTCTTCCTCAGTAACAAAAACTCCCAGGGAGCTGATGGGCTTATTGTCATGATGCTTTCAGAGGCAGAATTTGCTGTTGGTTCAGGTTTGACATCTTGCCTGGTGTGGGTATTTGCAAATGTAGCTTTCAGGGAAAGTTCTGTATCTGACATATGTGTCTTTGGCAAGTTTGGAAAAAGTTGTTGCGGTCTGAGCTGTCCACAGGGATGGATGACCTAAGGGAGACTCAAGGGGAAGGATGCCTGGCATACCCAGCATATGCAAATAGTAGAAATGTGCTTGTAAGTGTGTACAACATTCTGAACAGCACGGAGATACCTGTAGTGACGTAGTTTGTCTATTGCACATCTTTCTGGTACCCTTGCATTTTGTTAGCATTACTGGGCACAGCCCCTTTGTCTCGGTTGGTTTTTCTGTCAGTTATCCCAGAAATTCTCTTCCAGCTCTGGAAAGCACGCAAATAAAACACTGAAGACTGGAGGATCTGGCGAATATGAGAATTATTCTTGGCCTAACAGTAAATCATGGGTCTGGGACAGTAAATCACAGATCTGGGCTCTGACGCTTTAAGTTTTTGAGGAGGAATGCCATGTTTCCGGAACAGTAAAAGTGAAGATTTTTCTAGCAAGTTAGTCCTACTCTGTCAGTGTCATTAGGTCAACTGTCTGGGCCAGCACTACTTCTATGGAATGGGCTGAACAGTGCATATACCCACATACGCCTATATCCACATCTGGATTACAATATGTATGTAGTATCTTGCTTACACGAGAACTTTATGTTAACATCTTTGTGCCAACCCTAGGCATCTGATTTTTTAACTGGGTTTTTTTTTGGCCTCACAGTATAGACAAAGTCTTACTGGTTGTGCCATATAACCTAGCCCTGAGCTAGGTTAGCAGTCATCCCTAGGGCCTTTACTCCTCTGGGTACTTGAGGAAATCTTCACAAGGAATCCATATATCACTTGCATCCATATATGGCAGTTGTTTTTTTGTTTTTTAAGCACTTGAACAAAACATTGTTGCTTAAAGCATTTGTTATGAAAGAAGAGCTCTTAAAACTGTTTTCTGTTAGTCATCAGTCCTTGAAACTGTTTTAGTTTCCTGGCCAAAGTGTGTTTCCTTTTTTGCAAAGCTAAGCTCTGAATGCAAAAGTCACTTTACCCTTGTGATGATTTTCAAACATTAACAGCAATCCAGCATGAGGCATTTGAAGCACTCTCTATTCTTCACTTTTTCTCAACACTACTTTTAACTGGGTTGGACCCTTTCAATAGAGAAATTTTTTGCCTCGTAT